TGTTCCACCATCAGATGTAGAAAGATGTTCCACCATCAGATGTAGAAAGATGTTCCACCATCAGATGTAGAAAGATGTTCCACCATGCTGGATGGATCTTCCATGTAGAACTGATCTGGTGTCAGTTTCCTAGGGTTAGGGTTGGTTGATTTTTATATGAAATGACTTGAATGCAGCTGCTGTTTGTCTCAGGTGGAACCAGAAGTTTCTTTATACAACACACACTCTCTCTCTCTCTCTCTCTCTCTCTCTCTCTCTCTCTCTCTCACACACACAGTAACACACACACACACACACACACACAACGTCACATCACATTCATGTCTGTCAGATTAGTTGAGGTTTGTTGAGGGAGTCGCAGCTGGAAGGTTAAAGGTTAAATTCAGGAAAATTCTGACCCACAACACTGTGTGTGTGTGTGTGTGTGTGTGTGTGTGTGTGTGTGTTATATTGAGTTATTTCAGTGAACAACACACAGCTGAAATGTGTGTTTGGGAAAATGTTGACCTCTACTTCCTGCTCAACATCATTAATCACCTGTGTGTGTTACTGTGTGTGTGTGTGTGTGTGTGTGTGTGTGTGTGTTACTGTGTGTGTGTGTGTGTGTGTGTTGCTGTGTGTGTGTGTGTATGTCAGATAACAGATAGCTTCCTGCGTCTGTTGTTGCTCGATTGGATGATAAAGGGTAATTTATTCGGCTGTCTGCCTCCTGATTGGCCGACCAGATTAGAGTGACTCTGTGTGTGACGCTGCGTGCTGATTGGCTGCTGTGACCTTTCAGGGGGAGAACAGAAGGTCAGCTCCGAGATAAGAGCCGCTCAGGTCTCCGAGTGTTGTCCAGGGTTTGTGTGGACCCGTTTAAAGACTGTTGTGGTCCAGAGGAACTGGGACGGTGTGCTGGTGATGATCTGGAGGTCCGCCGGTGCTGCTCGGCGGACCTCCAGATCAGACCCTCGCTTCATACTGTGAATAGTGCCAGACCCAGCAGCCTCACTTGTTGTTCTGACCGTCACACTGAAGCGGTGTGGACGAAGTGAGCGGCGTGGCTGAGCGTCTTATCGGCAGACAGGGCTGCGTTATCTTAATGGAGGCTTCACAGCAGAGTGCCGGCTGAAGGAATGCAGGAGAGCCGAGGGTCCGATGCTCCACCGGCAGCTGGTCAGCAGCAGAGCTTCAGCCTGAGAGGCCCAGAGGAGGCCAGGCACATGGAGAACACGTACAGCATGACCTTGAGCTGCTGGGAGACCAACACGGTGCCAGAGTGTTGATGTCTGCCGGCTGTAGCGGATGTCTGAGCCATGCGCTGTAGTTCTGTTGAACTCGGTGATTTAGCAGCACCACCTCAGTTCACTGAGGAGTGATTTTAAGTAAAATCTCAAAGAGACTTTCTGCGAAGTCACGTTGATCAGTCTGTTTTCTGAAAGCCGTCAGCTCTGATTAAATGGACCTCAGTTCCCACACAAAGAAAGAAAGAAAGACACGAGGCCGTGAACGGGTCTAAATGATGAAGGTTTAGTAGCTGTTCTCCTGTTATAATACAGGTGAGCTGTAAACAGGGAAGTCAGAGTGTGTGTAGTGGACGTGATGCCCGACTACCCAGTCAAGTAATGAGGATGATGGTGAGAGCAGGATGGTTAATAACGATCTAACAGTAGTGATTAATTATCGTGTTTGTGATCGATACGCTTGTGAGCCGATCAATAGCTACAGCATCAACCCGATCAGAGCAGACGTCTGGCTTTGCCTGCCTGTGCAGCGCTGATGGACGGATCTCCGTTGGCTGGAACAGTTTGATGAATCGGCACTTTCTCCACAACGGGTCAGGTGAAAAGCACCCCCAGTGACAGCCATTGGCCTGTAGATGGCGTGTGTCCATGTTTACTGCCCTTCAGAACTGCCCACTAGTCTGTAGCAGCGTGTGGATCAAGAACCTGAAGATAGAACAAGTCTAGCAGGAGTATGTAACGGTCTGTACATGGTCACGTGGGAATAATGGGACCAACAGGGACAGGTTTGGTCTGAGCAGACTGTGGGAAGTTAAAAATGCTGGGACCAGCAGGGACAGAGGTACTGGGGGGTCCGTGCTCCAGCAGACCCCCAGTACCTCTGAAAAGAAGAGAACATCGCTGCAGACTCTCTTCCTGGTTTGCAGCCAGGCTTTTACGACTGATCCTTACCAGCTTCTGGGATCACAGGGTGGGGGAGAGTGTCCAGAGGAAGAAGAAGCAGGACTGTTCATCCTCAGTGAGAGTCACTGTGACTTTGAAGTTGTTGTTTCCACAGTACTAGTGTCCACTTGTTGCTGCAGGAGCTATGAGCGTCCATGCTGTAGGAACATGCATGCAGCACCATTTTTCCAGTGGAGTATGAACAGCGGGGTTGACCACCACAGGCTCTCTTTGTGACAGTAATGGAGGTTCTTCGTGGGTTTCCCCGTTCTGCCCAGTGTCCAAAGGTGGCGGTTTAATGATGGCAGTAGATCCAGAGTTTAAACAGAACAGTGCTTGTCACCTGGCGTGTCTCCTTGCTTGGCCTTCCAGAGGAAGTCGAGCGGTGTAAGCTACACGGTAGAGGCTTGCTCACTGACTGACGTTTCCTCCGTCACTCCTCTCAGAACTCTGTCCTCAGCCTCCCCAAAGACGGCAAGCTTTTCACAACAGTGTTCGAGTCATGTGACCACAACAGAGTTTATAGAAACGAAGTAGGTTGAAGGCGCTGAACACGAGGAGCTTTGCGGTTCTAACCCTTTAGTCCACGTGTTTACACATCACGTACACCCAGTAGATGGACATTCACAGATCGTATGTCATCATGAGTACAACTGTTACGCTGCAGAAGACATGTTCTACATGAAGAATCAGTTTTACAAGTTATGACTTGTTTTGGTAAAATTAATACCCAAAGAGTTCTCTTCTCTCTGGTGTCCATGGTTCTGACTGAGTCCTGCTGACAGCAGACATCTCTAAGTTCTGTCTCCTCCTTCATGTTCTGGTTCCACAGAGCTGCAGGACTTTATGTTGAAACATGAACCTCAGAAAAAAGTGAAAACCAGAGTCCAGACCTGAAGCTGCTGAAGCTGCCCTCTAGTGTTTGTACCTGAAGTAATGAAGGCGTCTGCTTCTCAGGCAGCTGTTACCCGTGTCCGGAGACGGTGGAGGTCCGGTGTTCCTGCGGTTCCACGGTCCTGGTCGTCCCATGTGGTCGAGAGCGAAGCACCAAACCCCCTCGCTGCAAAGAGCCCTGCAGGTAAACAGTTATTCCACCACAAACCTTCACCTGCAGACACGAAGCTCCTCGGTGTGCTGGATGGACGTGGTTCTGGTGTCAGCAGATGGTTCCACGTCTGTGGTCCCTCCACAGGGAACACCGACCAGCAGCGTGCACAGTGTTCCTGTTTTACGTCTGCTGACCCAAACCGGCCAATCACAGTCTGAGCTAGACTGAAACGTTTGTCGGTGTTGTGCAGCTGGTCTGACTCCAGGAGTGAACTTCAGCAGCAAAGTCCACGTCAGCCCGTCCATCGATGCCCGTTGGTGTTTTGCTGTCCTCTGCAGTGTTTCCTCCACATCGTGACACACACATGTCCACAGCATCCCGTCTCACACCGCGTCACAGCCGCTTCAGTCGCTTCACAGCCGCGTCACAGCCGCTTCACAGCCGCTTCACAGCCGCGTCACAGCCGCTTCACAGTCGCTTCACAGCCGCGTCACAGTCGCTTCACAGTCGCTTCACAGCCGCTTCACAGCCGCGTCACAGTCGCTTCACAGTCGCTTCTCAGTCGCTTCACAGCCGCTTCACAGTCGCTTCACAGTCGCTTCACAGTCGCTTCTCAGTCGCTTCACAG